ATTTAAATATATTTTAATATATAGTTTTATTATTGTTGCTATTATTTTTTATTAGGGGTAACCCGCGGAAACATAGGCCGTGTGTGGTTGTGGGGTGGTATGGTAGGGGTTATTTTTTTGCATATTTTGTTTGAAGGTTTTTTTTAAGTTGGTAGGGTTGTAACAAATGTAACACATGTTTGTGTATGTGTGCCAAGGATATGTTGCTAAAAATCCCAGGTGTTCACCCATCCGGGAGCTAGCAACTGCGGCTGGTATGTACGCTCAGTGCGTTTCCGCAGATTGAGTGTACGATCGCGCCTCACTAAGCCACATATTCTATTATTATAAACTATTGAATTATTATCTTTATTATTCTTATTATTGTATATTATCAAAAAAACTCCACCAAATTTTGTAATATTATTTTTTTTTTTTTTGAAAGGCTAAGTAAAATACAATCACTTGGACTTGATATCCTACACTACAATCGTTTTATTTGATATTTATATTAACTGTGTCACCTTCTCCAATATATTACAATGTTTACTCATGTATAAAAAATTTAAATCTAGAAACTAATTAGTCAATTTATCCGTTTTTTTTTTAAAAATAAGAAAARTCAAAAATAAAGTTTATGTTGTGCACACAAGTGCATGATAAATAAACTTGGGTACACGGCATGTAATTCTGACAGACGCATCTAATAGATGGCAATTATGGCATGCAATTTGAGTATTCCAATTTATGATTATTTTTTTGGTAGGCAATTCAGATGTGCCGTATGATTGATTTGTGTAGTGTGTGGCTTTTATATTTTGTTCTGTTGTTACTTTTCGGAGCAGCGAAAATAGTTCAATTTTTGACATCGATATTGTTTCTGGCATTGGAAAGTGAATCTAGTTAATCAAATGAAAAATGCAAGTACTTTTCTTAATGATTGTGAAAAACGAGAATTTTTATTGTTAACCAATTAATGACAAAATCAATTTTGTTATTTTKTTGTTATTAAAAAACGAATATAAATAGTATAGAAACCCCGCTATAGAAACATTATATCATGAGGGCCAAATCACGAGTGAATGAGTCACATGACTCTACTCCGGACACCATGTTCTATAGTATTTTATGCAGCATATTAAGTTTTTTTCAACCCAACCCGAAAAATTGAACCGACAACGGTCATATTATAACTATGGTTAATTGAAACAGCATTGCTTTGGAAGCCACATGCGTTGACCMCTCCATAAAGAGCAATGAAAATGAAAAATTGTGATTCCGAAAAAATAATTTGCTCGCTATTAATACAATGGCATCTATTATTGACAACCCACATAAACATAATTTTATCCACCGAGTATATTTATTAACTATTATTGCTTATCTGTTTATAATACAATCAATGATGGGAGCTTCACTTTTTTTAAGAAAATGTTTTTTATTATGTAAAAGACTTTTTTTTTTAAATAACTACTTGTTTGTTGATTAATATTTTTTAGATTCTTAGCAGAGCAATAAACCAATGATTGTATTCGATTTTTAGTGACGTGGTGTATGTTTTTTTTGTGT